TGTTAATTCATTTAGCCCAGCTTCCAGAGAGAGGATTTGATTTTAGTTTGTTAACTGTGAAGGTGAATTTGGCTCATTATAGCCCAGACAAGAGTGCTTGCACTCTTCCTATTGATAATACACAGAAATGTGTTGCATCACTACAATCACCTCATTATTTAAATGAAAAGATATTTTGTTAAGTGAACTTGACTGACATGGAGTTCAGCAAGGTGATAATTAAACATGGTAATGGTGCTGAATTGGACTATTGTGCTGTTGTCATGTTTAATGCGTGTAATGTAAAAAAAAATTCATTATTCTAAGTTGAAGTTACAGAACACGCGGATGAATGTTTTAAGACTGGTGAAGATAAAGATGTTTTTGCAGGTCATGAATTTGAATCCTGTGTGGCTTAGGTCAAGTGGATGACCTTTTGTGTCTGATCAGAGGAACTCTGAGTCTTAGAATTAGCCTGGATGTTTGGATTTAGATTTGGAGCAAGTTGTAAATGCATCAGAGGATGTATCGATGAAAGTATGTGTTGTTTACTTCTGGATGACTATTAGGGCTTGCGCATTTGTGTTCATATTCTGGTCTTTGGTCCGCTGTTTTGTTTTTCGTATATTTTCACTGACGAACTGACGAACCGTCTTCAAAACCGAATAGCTTGATGAATACAAGGACGAAGCCCATTGTGAGTAGAAGGTGGAAGAGCCCTTAGCTTGGGGACTGGAATTTTAAGGTTCCAGCATGTCCAAGAAAGGGCGAAGAAACTCTGTAACCTAAGTAGGGAGCACAAGTCATTGCTTCCACTTTCTTTAGTGACCTCACTGGTTGACCTGGAGCAGATTAATTTGCTTCGGTCAAAAACAGGGGACTGAAGGAGTTAGAGTTCTACCTTCAAATTCATCTCAACAAATCAACGTTAATCCTTTTTCTCAACATCCTGTTTCTCATCACGTTTTATTAAATATAATTATTTAATTTCTTTTATTAAATTTAATTATTAATTATAGAACTTTGAATTGATTTAACTAATGTATAAATTCACGCTTCTTAATGTTAGAATGTTCAGTGTCCTTGTTTCTCTTTTTGCCTGTCTTTTTAAAATTTGTTTTCAGGATTCACACAAAAACCAGGTCATAGGTCATGGAGATCTCTCTCTCCCTCTGTCCCAGAGGAGAAGAAAATCACCTGTTCTAGTCGTCCAAATGTGGCAGGGGGGACAAGAAATTGAATTAAACACCTTAAACGACAACGTCACCCGATTAAGCCGGGAATAATAATAATTATTATTATATTTTACAGGCATCTATAGGTTCGTAGCCAAAGTAGGGTGAGCATGGAGACGTAAAATCAGAAAAAAAGCACTTTATTGAAATACAAAAGTTAAAATAATTAAAAAATCTTTTTAACATGAGCCTATTACAAAACAACAACAAAAAAGACAACAATAATCCAAAACAATAGAGCGGGGTACCAGCGGAAGTTTGCAAGTGTCCACAACACCAAGGAATACAAACACACACGCACACACACAGCCCCTATGAAAACACAGCAAACTTATTTTACACAGCAAGATCTGTTTAGCACAGCACTCGGTGTATATATACACATACACACACTAATACAATGCACCCAAGCTGGGTCTTCCCCACCCCCCTATAACCAAATAGGTTTCAAAGAAAATACACTGAAGACAGTTACAAAACAAAGAGAAACTATTAAAGAAAAATATGAAAATCACAACCAAAAAGTAACAATTTAGAATAGACCTGAACAGAAAAGGAAAATTAGCAAAAATCACTCGAATGCATAACAAAAACACAAAGCCACGATTTACAATAAAAAAACTCAATCAAAACAAACATATGCTCTGCCATACATACCATACAGATGTTAGAACATGGCCTCACTCTGCAAACATCGGAAGTTATTGGTAACCACTAAATCGGACACCACCAACGCACAAAGCACAAATCAAAGCGCCGGGAACCAGAGCAGGCAGAAAGCACGCCGAACGAACAGCGTCTGGTGCAGAGCAGCTGAGGACCAAACCAGTCAATCCTGCCAACACTTATAGTACAGTTACTACCCAAATATACTGAAGTGTACACAAATTCATCTTCCGCACTTACCATTTCTTTCAACCGGAAGGGTTTACCCTTCAGAAAAAAAAGACGGCAACACCGATGACACATTCCGAGTTACCAAATGCGCTTAACTTTTATACTTCCTAAACGGGATCTGATAGGTTTGATGACTTAGCGTGACCCAGCCAATAGAAACTACAGTAATAGTCAACCCGGATCTCATAGACTCAACAAGTTAGTGTTACACCAGCCAATAGCCGTAAAGGGATATTCCACCCTGCTACACTGATATTGTCTACAATAATTTACCTATTTTGATTGTATTTCCTATTAAAATTCCTTTTGTGTGGAGATAGACACTGTGTGTAGTCAGGATATTGTAGCAGACTGTTGATGGAAACAGTCTTGAACCAGTTTGATAACACAGCTGAGCGTACAAGAAACATCCTTGAGTTTTTAACACAGATGGTCTCTTGTGTCTATTGTCACCCTGGTTTATCTTTTCACAGGTTGTAGATCAGCTCCTAATAACTTAGGGTCGACCTAACCCCCAGGAACCATGTCGCCATCCATATCTGGAGTTATATACAATTCTTTCTTAACGCACGCATTGAGGTCATCCTTATCTGGAGCTACAATAATTTTTTTTTTTTTTTTAATGCAACCAATGAGAAATGTTTACCTGGATCCCACCTTTTCTGGACTTGTGTAGAGTATAATTACTGCATTGTTGTAATGTAAGTCAGAGCGGCCTAGGAACTCATTGCGAGTGTTGAAGCTGGCTTCTGCTGTTAAAACTGCAAACTATCATTAGTAAACTTATTTATTTGAATCTCTGACTCCGGCTCTTCTTTATCTGACAGACTGGTCATTCTTTGGGTTAAACTGTATACCATCCCTACCGTAGTAAACTAGAACCTAAAAGTAAATAATCTTTACTAATAAAAAATACAACACAGGACAATTGAATGGGCTTTCTAAACTTGAGGCCCTGGTATACTGCAAACTAACTGTCCTGGAGCTCCACCTTATTTGATGTGCGTGGTGTCTTCCCAGTGATTTGTTTCTCATTCAGGGAGTCAAGACAGAGAACATCATCCAAAACAACACTAGCTACATGAATACACTGGAGAGTGTGGAGAGTGAGAGAAACACGACACATTTACAACCCCACCAACAACCCTAGTGTAGGCGTGTTGGAAAACAGTATATCGTCCCTCAGCCTTTTTAAACATTATTCAGACATAAAAAATCCTGTGCACATGAGAAAATGTAGTGTTGCATTCATATCATGTATGCAACTTTTTGTCTATGTGTTTCTTAAGCTGCGCCGATTGAGCGAAACTCTGTTGACATGGATCAGATCTGTACGGTTTCTCCAGTGTGAGTCCTCTTCTGTTTTCAGATGTGTTAACCGATTAAACCTCTTGTAGTAAAAATTCTTGCCACACTGATTGCTTGTGAATGGTTTCTTTCCAGAGTGGATCCTCATGTGTTTATTAAGGTTTGCTGATCGGTTAAAACTCTTTTCACACTGAGTGCATGTGAATGGTTTCTATCCAGAGTGGGTCTTCGTGTGTTTATTAAGGTCTGAGGAGTTGCTGAAACTCATCCCACACCGAAGCTGCAGTCACACTAGAGTTTAAGCATGCAAAATTCTGTTGTTTGGTTTCTCTCCAGTGTGGATCCTCAAGTGTAAATTACGGGATGATGATTGGCTGAAACTCTTCCCACACTGAGTGCATGTGAATGGTTTCTCTCCAGTGTGAATCCGTATGTGTTTACTATAGGGATGGGAAGATTAACCGATATGTATCGATACGCGGTCATGCGCGTGCACGATGCTAGTGCATCGGTAGAGCAGCAGAGGATGAATGAAATTTTGGAAGCAAATCGAGATGCATCGGTTTTTGCGAGATGCATTGGTTTTTCCAAGATACAACTTATATTTTTAATATAGAATGTATTTTTTATTTATTACCAGTGTTGTCAACCTGTTTTTGGCGCATAATTTAATCGACCTACATAAAGTATTAGCAACGGACTTGCGGATCTTATTCCTCACTGAGATTTAAATCTAAAGTATGGCAACATTATGGATTCTGCAAAAAGGATGGATGACTTGACAGGACAGATGCAATTTGCAAAATGTGCCGCGCATCTGTAAAATACATGGGCAGTATGACTAATCTGATATCTCACTTGAAGCGGCGCCACGGTGTTGTTGTGGAAGCATCTTCCAGTGTCCCTGCATCCCTGGCTTCCTGCTCTGCTTCAACTGTAGCTACCAGCTCAAAAAGTGGTGAGAAAAGCATTGAAAGTTTTCTCCATGCACAACAGTTCTGCTTGCTCTACGCCAATAACGAATGCTATTGCATTGTTCATCTGCAAAGATATTCAGCCTAGTGTCACGGAGAACGAAGGTTTTAAACACCTCCTGTTAATTTTTATTTATTTATATTTTTATTAGACCTGTTGTTTACAGTGATAGTGATGTTTCAAAGCAACATAACACTGCTAGTTCACCACCTTAAGTTTTGAATATTCAGTGGCACAATATATCTTTGTAAAACTTGTTTTCATAGTTGAAAAGTTAAATCACAATTCTTGTTGTGCAATGCTAAACCTTTATGTTGAAAGAGTGCAAATATATACATTTATAATATATATTGCACTTATACATTCTGTTTATCTTGAAAATACTTAAATAATATGTGCTATAGGTTCTAAAATGGCCCTCTACTGTGAACTGACACTGGCTCTGAGAGAAGCCAGTTTGTAAAAAAAAGTCATGGTTTTGCTTGGTTAATAAATAATCAAACTCATTCAATGGCACAGCATCCTCTTTCACATAATCTCATAAGCTTGATTTAATTAGTTAGTGCTGAATTATCGCATTGTATCGTGATATGGGTGTGAATCGTATCGTGTTGCATCGCAATATGTCACAAATGTATCGCTAATATATCGGATCGTATTCTTTGTATCGAGATGCGTATCGGATCGGCATTATAGCTTAGATGCCCAACCCTAGTTTACTAAGGTGTAATGAGCAGTAAAAATTCTTGCCACACTGATTGCTTGTGAATGGTTTCTCTCCAGTGTGGATCCTCATGTGTTTATTAAGGTATGATGATTGGCTGAAACTCTTCCCACACTGAGGGCATGTGTATGGTTTCTCTCCAGTGTGGATCCTCATGTGTTTATTAAGGTGTGATGATTGGCTGAAACTCTTCCCACACTGAGGGCATGTGAATGGTTTCTCTCCAGTGTGGATCCTCATGTGTTTATTAAGGTGTGATGATTGGCTGAAACTCTTTCCACACTGAGGGCATGTGAATGGTTTCTCTCCAGTGTGGATCTTCATGTGTTTATTGAGGTTTGATGATAGGCTGAAACTCTTACCACACTGTGTGCATGTGAATGGTTTCTCTCCAGTATGGATCCTCATGTGTAGATTTAGGGATGATAATAGGCTGAAACTCTTCCCACACTGAGTGCATGTGAATGGTTTCTCTCCAGTATGGATCCTCATGTGTAGATTAAGGGATGATAATTGGCTGTAACTCTTCCCACACTGAGTGCATGTGTATGGTTTCTCTCCAGTATGGATCCTCATGTGTAGATTAAGGGATGATAATTGGCTAAAACTCTTCCCACACTGAGTGCATGTGAATGGTTTCTCTCCAGTGTGGATCATCATGTGAATCTTAAGTTTGTTTTTGCATGACAAACTTTTTCCACACTGAGTGCAGATGAAACAATTCTTGTCTTTCCTTTTTAAAATACTATCAGTCTGTAAATTATTTTTTTCCTCAATTTTGACATGATGTTGCTCCTCTTTACTCCACTTATTCTCTTCAATTAGTTCTGAAATATACACACATATATATATATATATATATATATATATATATATATATATATATATATATATATATATATATATATATATATATATATATTAAAAAAAACATTCATTTTCATTAAGTCTTTAAAAATCTTCATCAAAAGCTGAAAAGTGAAAAGACACTGGAAACATTGGCTACACACACTGTAATTTTGATGCACATTAAATGCAAAATAAATCAGATCATATTTTGTTCGGTCCAATAATGGTGTACACATTTAAACAGATTTAATTCAATTCATCTTTATTCATCTAGTGCTTTTACAATGTAAAATGTGCCAAAGCCGCTTAACATAGAATTTATTGTAAATTGAAACGGTCAGTCCAGTTTTCAGAGTTTCTTACATAATTGATCATAAGTCATATTGGTCATATTGATAGGACAGATTTGAAAGCTGTAAATGGCCTGTTTTTATTTGTAATCATTCATAATTACAACAAAATATTTTTCCTAAAATGTGTAAAGCAGACCAGGGCTCAAAATTAACCTTTTTGCTTGGTAGCACCAGTGCTCCTAATTTAAAAAATGTAGGCGCATCAACCAAAATTTAGTTGCACACACCAATTAGAGGCATCATTACTACAAGTTTAATACAAACAGATTTATATCATTTGAAATAAACACTAATCAAACTAACAAGCAACAAAATGTATGCATGGGTGAGGAAAATATGTCTCAACGAAATCCCGTTATCACAAAAAAATTAATTTTTATAACATAAATGAAGGACCAAAAGATACACGGACCCCTCACCAGCCCTTCACGCACTGCTTGACACAAATGAATCTGTTAACGATTGCTGTGCTGCTCTCACGGGTGCTGTCTGATACTGCACTGACGCTTTTGACATATACTGTACCTTATTATATGCATATGTCATGTGTATTTAGCACATGTTCGTTGTTATTTCTAGCTCTCAAGTATATTTTGTCAATAATGGTGTAGCTTCATAGTAAAACATCAAGAGCTGTTTAAATGGTTTTGTTTTATATGCCAGATCCCACATGGTCAGCTAGTTAAGAGTGGGAGTATCTGGAAGTGTGTGCAAGTTTACATGCAAGGTTTTAATATTGTGTTGTTTCGTGTTTTTAAGTGTTTGTGTGATCACCTCCCTTTTTCTTTCTTTTTCCCCTTTTTTTTTTTGCCTCTCTCCCCCACACATCCCCCTACATACAAAACCCACAGATTCCTTTTTGATGCTACTGATAAATGTTTTCGACAGCCCTCCATAAAATGGGTGGAGTAAAGACAAACTTTACCAGTTGGAATGTACGGGGGTTAAATCACCCAGTGTAACGAAACAAGGTGTTCGCACATCTTAATAAGTAAAAATCTGATATTGTATATTCACAGGAGACGCATCTGTTGAAAAAAGACTATTCTAAACTCAATAGGAGCACAAATATATCATTCTAACTTTAATAGCAAAAGTAGGGGAGTTGCTGTACTCATACATAAAAATGTACATTTAGTTTGGGAGTCAAATGTGTTAGATAAAAATGGCAGATACATAAAAATCCAAGGTAAACGTTTTTTTACTAGGAATGCACGATATATCGGCGGCCATATCGTAATCGGCCGATAAATGCTATTTTTAAGATTATCGTTATGCTATTATTAAAATTATGTCGATATTTTTACGCCGATAAAATGCGTATTCTTTACATAGGCTAAACAAACTTACTGCCGCCACTGGGTTTTGAGCGTCGCATCTGTGACGTAGCACAAATCAAGCGCGCGCTTCACACTCACAGTACACAAGAAGGAAGACAACATGTCAGCAGTGTGGGAGTTTTTCACCGTTAAAAAAGAGGACCCCAGAATTGCAATCTGCAACTGCTTCAAATGTGAGGCACTGCGAGGGGGGAGTAGGAAAAAAAGTTCAATACTACAAATGTGATAATCCATCTAAAGTGTCGTCATCCCGAAATCTATAAAGACTATCAGACTAAACTCGCTGCCAAAAAAGCACCAAGTTTAACCACAACAGAGAATCCAACGCAACAAACACTTGACAATATAAAGAAATTTGGCAAGGACAGTGCAAAAGCAAACGCTATCACAGGCAGAGTCATGGAAATGATTGCAATCGACGACCAACCTTTCAGCGTTGTGGAAGATTTTGGATTTCGTCGTCTTATTGAATTTATTGAGCCGCGCTACTCCCTCCCTAGCCGGCGGCACTTCGCTGCTGTTTCTCTCCTGGCTTTGTACAATGAAGTGTCAGCTCACATTCACACGCTTTTGGCAAAAAATGTGACTGATATAAGTTTTACAACCGACATATGGAGCTCAGATGTAAGTCCAGTGAGTATGTTAAGTCTTACAGCTCAGTGGATTGATGAAAACTTTGAGATGAAGAGGGCTATACTGCACGCGTGAGAATGCCCTGTGTCTTACACAGGCGCTGCTATAATGTGGCAACTCGAAAGCATGCTCGCTCGCTGGAACATAACTAAAGATATGGTACATGTTGTGCTGCGAGATAACGGCCGCAGTATGGTTAAAGCCATCAAAGACTGTGGTTTAAAAAGTCTTGGATGCATGGCTCACACTCTCCAGTTAGCCGTGCACGAAGGAGTTCTGAGCCAGCGAAGCATTTCCGACTGTATGGCTATAGGGAGAAAAATAGTAGGGCACTTTAAATATTCTCATCTTGCAATGTCCCGAATTGGAGAGATACAGACAGAGCTGGAACTGTTGAAAAATATGCTGCAACAAGACACTCCGACACATTGGAACAGTATGTTTTATATGATGTCAAGCTTGTTAGCACAGAAGCGAGCACTTCGTGCATATGGAGCAGAATTTGAGCTTCCCGCATCCTTCAGCGTGCATCAATGGGGGCTAATTGAAAACACAACAACATTGCTTGCTCCGTTCGAAGAGCTTGCGAGAGAAATAAGTGCACACACGGCAACTGCTTCAGACGTGATTCCCTCTATTGAGGCTCTAAAGCGATTTCTATCAAATAATAATAAATATCTCCCATAGGACAGCAGGTAAATTACTTTATCCCCTTATTTAAAAATAAATGAACAGCAAAATAAGAAATTCTATTTTATTTAACTCCTAATATATAGAGGTCAAAACATACTTTAGTTTTTGTCAACAATGATCAATATGACAAGATTAAAATTATTTAAGCTGATATTAATGCTGGCTGTGAGTGTAAGGTGTTTTAAAGTGTTTAATTAAATCTAAATGCTTATGTTAAAGGAAATATTATTTTGCATTAATCTTTATAGGTAAATGCATATCTAAGTGAGCCACCCATTGCCAGGAGTGAGAGCCCACTGCAGTTTTGGAACCGCAATATGTCCCATTTTCTAGCTTTGGCCACCGCTGGACGCAAGTACCTGTCAGCTCCTTGTACCATAATATAAGCATTTGTTTAATAATAATTTTAAAACGGCATTAGTGCCCAGTGACGTTTTTAATGCTCAAGGACACCTTACAAACAGTAGGAGAACAATAAAAGCAACAACCTTAAGAAAGTAAAGAAAATTGGAGACTAATAGTACATAAAATAATGACAAAAGACACGAGAACAAGCAACAAAAAAGAAACTCATTTCTGTCTTTCAATGAGTGCTTATGTGCGTTTAGGAGAACTAGGCAGCACACTCAGGGCTGCAAGATGGATTTAATTTATTATTCTTATTATTAAAATATCTGAATGAGGATCAAATGACTGAGTTGATCTTTGAGAATAAAAAATTAACCTGTTTGTTCTTGCAGATCTTCCTGTTTGACTGTGAATGTTTCTTCAATCTTCACATCTTCACTCTCCTCTTTAATAAACACCATCTTTATAACAGTGTGGAGATCAGTCGCTTCAGCAGGAGTTTTTATCTGTGTTTGGACACTTTATCCTGTTTAAAATGAACAAAACAATAAAAATGTCCTGTTTAAAATAAATAAAACAATGAACAGAAACAAAATAACTTCTCTTCAACACTTGCTTCAACAGTTTCTTTATATGAGAGTCATTAACAAATAGAGGTAAAGTTGGTTTTATGTTCACACATTCAGACTTTCCCCTTAATAATATAATTTCATGAAAGTATTATTTGCAAACTCTAAATAGCGAAATCATATTAGCAACAAATGACTACCAAAGTACAACATTGTTCACAGTTAAATAAACAGTGTTAATGTTGTTTTCAAGTCACACTTGCATACTAATTCCGATCAAATATTCAAAGTAACATGGTAAACAATGTAGAGACTTGTAAATGAACGAATGTGCGAATATAAAAACAAACTTTACCTCTATCATTAACAAACAGAAATCAGAAAAGTCTGATCAAGAAGAAACAATAGCCACTGATCAGCTGATTAAAACTAGTACTCAATTTCTTATATATAGTGATGTATGTTTATAATGGAATGACATTGTGCTATTCAATCAATTAAACTTTCATTAAAACACTTATTACAAACTTTTACTTTATTCAAGTATCTTCTTAATTGTTTTGTTTGTTTTATTTATCTTATTGTCTGTTTATAGCTTTTTTTTGCACAAGACAAATTTCCTCTCTGGAACAAAAAGTTTATCCTATCTTTATTTAAAAAATGGACCTCATTACTGTAAGTTTTAGTAAATAGTACTACTTTGTATAAGGGTTAAAATAATATTGTCAACAGGTACATAATTTAGCACTGAATGAAAACACTGAAACTTTAATCAATCGCTTTATATAAGGGTAAACGCTTCAAAACAAACCTTTCTCCAGTTGAATCACAGCGTGAGAGCGGCGCAGGCTTATGACGTCACAAGTCACGCCAAA